GCAAAAATACCTACAAGTGTGTAATTGTTTTTTGAGGAAACTTAAAACATTGACTCCTGGTCCCCACACAGTCAGAATGGCTTTTAATAAACAGTTGCTTTGCACACAGTTCCTTGACCTCTCCTGGTGGCAGTGGGATATGAAGGGCCCATTCATTTCCCCTTGTAAACATAGCGGGTACTTTCTAAATTATCTGGCCATGAATCTGATAATCTACCACTTGTATTTAGAGTATAACTTGAAATGTTCTCCCACATGTCATTTGGTTTAAAGTATAGTATTAGAATTTTGAGAACATAAATATAAATTTTTAAATATCTACATTGTCTGAAAATATATAAAAACATATTTTCTGTACCTACGTTTCTGAAAAATGGATTGAGAGAACAGTATACTCTATAAAGGGGCACATTCTACCAGGAAAACATTTATAAGGGAGACCGTCTGTGGGGTATCTTGTGTTTTGCTCCAAGTTTGTAAGGTAGCACAAACAGAGAAGACCAACAAAAAATATCTGTTAGCTTTAGATTAAAATTTTTGTATTAAAACAGTCATTTCTGACACACCTGAAACATTTATTTTTCTTTTTCCTCCCCCAAAGGTTTCCTGATTTACTTTGCTTATGGCATTAGACACAGCCTGGAGAGTCATCCAAGACATGAAGAAGATGACGAAGATGCTTATTCAGACAACATTAATGCAGCAACGGAAGAAAAATATGCCATTCAGGCAAATGACCATCACCCAAGAAATCTCAGTCTACCGTTCATATTCCATGAAAAGACAAGTGAATGCTAGTGCTTGCAGAAGCAAAGGAGGTCATCGTCTTAACATACATATGCTACACTGAGTAAACCATGACAGGATGTCTTCACCGTGCTAGGTGGTCGTGAGTTTGCTGCATACATATAGTTCACCCTAATTTATACTTGCTCATCTGGACAGCATCTCCTCAGATGGTGAATTATGTGCCTGGAGAAACTTCCTGAGCTCTTTCCTCAGTGATGAATATCCCCAAAACTGTGGGAAAATGTGTGTGTATGTATGTACATGGTTGGGAACATGACTGTTAAAAGTTAGTTGGTGTTTTTCTGTTACTGTGTTCATTAATCGGTGGCATATACTGCACATACTAAAATAGAGGTAAATCACTGAGTAGAAAAGTGTTTTGTTTGTGCCCCATGTGGTTGGGGAAATAATGGTTGCATTTCCTCATCATGTTTCATTAATGTCAATCTCAAACATGCTAAAAATGTAGTTACCCATCATGGTGTCTGTCACCGGTCAGGAGTAAGAAGAGGGGACAAGACATGAGCCTTTTCTTTCTGTAAGTCGTAAATGCCAACGGAGAGTTTAGTGCAGATTTTTTTTTTCCTGTGAGGTATGACAGTTTTGATAAAATTTCAGCCAGTAGGAGTGTTTGCTTCTGTGGGCCTATGCAGGATAAGCGTGGTATTCCTTGTCACCAGGTGGCACCCCTTTGAACTCTTGTCTTCTTTGAGAGCGGTAGTTCTACAATATGAGGACTTCACCTGCTGTGAATGATGTACCTAGTAAACCCAATCAGGGACTTGAGACAGGCACTGTGATCTACTTGGGACCCTTTAAACTAAAGGCAAAGGTGGTCCGCATGACCAGAAAGCTCAGGTGAGTGGCCCTAATGAGCGTATGTGTAAAGGCCAAAGAGACATATGCTCAGATAAGTAGACACCAAGCATTCTTTCTTAAAAAGACACTTAAAATAAGCCAGTAAAATCTCGGATCACACAATTGGTGGGTTGATTCCTACTTTTTCTATTACTTAATAGCTAATCACAGTCCAGTTTTTTTTTTTTAACCCCATCAGACACAGAGTTCACTCCTTTTTATTTCTATTTTTATTTTGTCTTGACCTACATATTAGGGGCTATGGCAGCAAATTCTATCTTTACTACACATGAAAGAGGGAAAGATGAAGGGATATAAGGAGAAAAATTTCCCTATTCTAACATTAAAGTGCCTATTCAGATACTAAAGGGCATTTGGCCTAATTTTAAGGGGTTTGGGTCTAATTTGTCTCTGATGTTTTTTTTTGGAAACATTTAGGGCTGTTTTTCTCTCCCCTACGCTGTAAAATTGTTTAGCACCCTTTATTCCATTTGCTTTTAAATGACCACACTAAGCCTATTAATATAAGCTCCAGTATTCTACAATAACCTACCAATGGTTGGGGAGCCAGATATTTTGGTTAAAAACACAATTATTTAAAACTGCAAGCTAAAAAAATTGATTAAATTGAAAAACAGTTATATAAACATAGCAACCTTTTTTTATGAGTATATAATTGTTTATATGTAAGTTTCTCTAATCACCATATTTTACTTTTTAGGGTTCTTTTATAGTAGACTATTTATCTATGGTGTGTTTTGCTTTTCATGAATTATTTTTGTACAACTTAATTAAATAGTTCATTAGATGAGGCTAGTGGCTAGACACTTACATGTGGTAACATTCCCAGGATACCATGGCGAACGTTACCGAGTGTGCTAGTTGACCTGCGTTATCCAAAGGCAATGAAAATATTTGTTTTCTCACTGTTCTTCCAAGAGATCAATTATTTTATTGATATCATTAAGAAGCAAGTTGAGAATGTTTTCAATAACCAAGAGTTTATTGTGATTAAATGTCAAATAAATAGGTAGAAAGCCTGGGTTTCTGGCTGCTAGTGGTATAGCTGCCCTGACACAGATTTCAATGTTGACATTCCACAATTTCCAGGGTGCACATAGTAAAATATGAAGCCCAGAATTCTCTTTCAAGCTGCATGTTTTACTGGAGAGAAGGAGTTGGACTAGGAAGGGGTAAAATATTTTTCTAAGGATTGTAGGCATGATCGTCAACCCTTGCTGTTGTAGCAGTACTCTGAGAACCCCTCTTATAATCTAGAATGGGCCTTTCACACAGGAAACATGAGCAATTTTATATATGAATATTTAAATATTTTACTGTAACAAAATCAATAAATTTGTTTAGAATGTGATAGGCAGCTAAAACTATTATGCCCACTGTGTTCAATTAGAAGCAGAATTTAGTTAAAAATTATTTTCCCACATTGAAACACTTTGCAAACACTATCTAAGAAAAGATTCTTTTTCAGCAAGTATGCTTTTTTTCTGTGAAGACTTAAATGGATGTGTTTGTATGTATGTAAACACAGTTACATATGTATGTGTGAGTGTATAGAGGTCTCTGTATGTGTGTGTTTCAAGTGTCAGTGTATAAGTAAGTTGGGCTTATGATGGGCTTTGGATACATTGTTATGTGGGTAAAAAACCCAGCTGATGTGGAGAAAAATTAATGTTTTATGTTGCTAGATATGCTGATACAAAATTTTTAGGTTTTAAACTATTTTAAAATAGACAAATTTCTATGTACATTTCCTGTAGGTAGATTCTTTAAGAAATATTTATAATGTTTCTAATATGAAATCACTAAACTCTAGTACATTACAACAGGTGCTTTATAATCTGAAGTGGAATGGAGGTAGAGGACATCCGGGTATTCCTGTTTACTTGTTTCAGCTGCACCTTTTCTGACGTATCTGTCCTGGTAGGTGTTTATTAGTAAAAGCCAGTAATACCAGCTCTAGTGCCACCTCCCTCTTCCTACATTTGAATTCATAACCTTTTAAACAACATGTTGTTTTTACTTTCTTCGGAATTGCAAAATGCTTTGCGTAGATTTGACTAGTAATTAGTCAAACATATATAAAGTCCTTTCCAGGAATTTAAAAAAAAAAATGCATATACACATTCTTTTCATTGTGACTGAGTAAAGCAGCTTAAGTTTACTTTTCTTTTTCACACTAGGAAGTATACTCAACAACCTTCTTAGTAAGAACTTTTCACAAATAGCACCTTAAGGACAATGATTTGTAAATAATCACATAAAGCTAAACCCTACCTTTGAGAAGGAAGCTATACAAGCTCAAGTTTAAAAACTATTTATGAAAAAAACTTATATTAGGAGGTTTGATATATATTAAAATATAGATTATCTTTATCACATTTTCCCCAGAAATAAATATCAAGAAAATACCATTTGAGATATATATATGAAAAACTAGCATTTAGAACTTAACTCATACCAAGCATAATTGATAGAAAATAACCAGTTTCAGAATTATCTTCCTTTAACAGATAAGAGCCTGTTTTCTTTTAATTTTTAGGAAGAAAAAAAATGTTTTTAAGTGAGAAAGCAGGATTTATTGAGAGGACAGAAAAGCTCCCACAGTGGGAGGGGACCTGAAGGGGTTGCCCTAATTTTTTATTTTAAAGGTTAACCAAAATATTTTCTGAGTCCTGGTGTTTGCAAGTAGTTGTTAAAACATTTTTTTACTAAAACACTTTGAATTAGATTCTGTTTTTACCAAATTATTTTCTAAATTTATTTAAATCCTTAGCAGGGAGAACAAGAAAAGACCAAAGCCCTCTGCTACTGAGGATGGTAGAGGGAGCAGATGGGCCCTCTCTTCTCTCCTCTTGAGTCAGGGCATATTCTACCATTACAAACTACATGATGAAATTGTGGCAAGATTCAGACTCCCCTCCCCTGTGATGTTGCTCATGACTTCTGATCTGCTCAAATGGCTGTTAGTTAACACCAAAAATGCAATTTTTGCAGGACTTTAAGGGGTTGAATTTAGAGTGTACACCATGGGTTATTAAAGTTCACATGATTCATATGACTGGGGACAGTGAAAGTAGCTGTCCTTTTTGCTGGTGCCAAACAGTGCCTTCTCTGTTTCCCCTTTACAAAATTCTCTAACATGTCCTTAAATACCAAGGGAAAAAGTACTGATGTTCATGTAGTAAATAAGGCCAGCAAAGGTCATCTTTTAGTCATATAGATGTGAAAATAAGACTGCCTGACTTTGTTGTTTAGCTGAGGTGTTTTTTTTTTCCTTATGTAATTATATTTAAACACTTTAAAATAGCTTTCTGGTTTCTGGATTTTGAGAAGCCTGATCTGTTATTGCTTGGTTGTTGGTTTTTGTAATATTCATTATTGTTTATATGTACACAGTTTAGTATTTTTGATTTCACGTGCATTTTGTTACGGCTCAACCCAATTGGTAACACTATTTGCTGGGAGCACTATACTTAGTCTTTATTCACCATGGCTAAAGCCACCGCCATGCTCTCTGGGCCTTAAAGAGCCTTCTACGACCAGTGACAGCCCCGTGGAGATCATAGCCAGGCTGTTCCAGGCTTAGGCAGCCTGCACAGTATGAGCAACTGCAACTCTTGTTGGGTAGGTCTTAGACTGATGAGGTAGAATAAGAAGTGAAAGACTTCAAATGAAAGCAAGGTAGTTTAGAGTCCTTAATTTCAGTTCTGAATGTCCCATGAGTATATCAAGATGAATAAGGACCAAGGAAGCTCCATGACTCATGGAAAGGATGGCTGATTCCTGGAACTGGAACTGCAGGGCCTGGCCTGCTGCAGTCCCTGCTGGTGCACCAACAGTCATGCTGTGCAAAGCCGTATGGCCAAGACCCAGTTGGTAAAGAGCCCCCTGTTGCCCACAGGGTAGGTTTCTCTAGCCCACGCCTAGTTGATGGGTTCTTGTGTCTGGTGCCCCCTAGGGGTGCCCTAGTGTTATTGTGTTGCTTTATTTTGTTATCATTGTACTTAACAGAAATTGTTGACAGGGCCTAAAACCCTACAGAAATTTTATGTCTGTAAAAACGACAAAGACATTAAACTTGTGTGAATGTAAAGATTTTGTTGTTGTTGTTTAGTAGGTGATTTTTAAATTTAAATGTTTAAATGATCATCAGTGTTCCTTTTTACTTATTAAGTTGGATTCTTTTTTAGAATTTGTAATAAATAAAAACTATATTGCTGCTTTACCACTGTAAAATATGCTTTCTGATATGACTGTGTGTTTTTAAAATACATTTTAAAATGACTTATAATCTGCATGTGATCACACACAGCAAAAGCATATATTTCACACTTATCTAATTTATGCTCCTTTTTTAAAAATTTGGAGCTTAAAGTTCAGAAATATAGTTCAGTCTACACTGAAATAATTATATTGTTAAGAATACTCACCTGGCAACCTAGGCCCTATGACTAGCAAGTACTGTGAGATAAAAGAGACGTCATCACATATCCTCAATCCTTATGACACATTCCAAAAAATATCAATTGCTTCTGAAGCATTTCGCCCCAGAATCACACATCTGAGATTCTACCTCTGCCACCGCCCTTCAATGAACCAATCACTTTGACATTGCTTTGAGCTTTAAGAAGTTCCTCAATGTTCTTTCCATCAAATCATAGCCTTAATCATTGATGATCAGTTATGTATAACTAATATTTTTTTCAGTATGGTGAATAAATATCAGCTAAAACTTTTTTTACTCTCTGATAGGGAGGAAGAAGTCAAAAGAGCTTTTTAACATCATTCCAAGTTATTTAAAATTGCAAATCTCTTGAATTGTGTAATTTTGAAATATCTTTGTGAATATTGTTAGTTCCTATTGATTCTAATAAATTGGAGGGAATATGTTGAATTTTTAAAACTAACATCAATTTAGCTAGCATGAAAACTAAACTAAAATAGCAAAGTATTTGTCAGGTAAAGGCCTTAAACAGTTTAATTGTTTGGCTTGATTAGGATTGCTGCTAGGTTTTGGTGTCCTACCTCTGCTCTGGCACCGTGGGCTCACATGAAGGCAGTAACCCCCCAAGAGCTGTATCTAGGCTCTGGGTTCACTTAGTAATCCCTGAAAGTAGGAACACGATCTCTGTTTAAAGGACATAGATAGGCTTCCATTTTGGACTAAGGTCTCAAAACCTGTGGATCGGTAAGGTATTGTCCTGAGAAGTTCCCATCTGTCTGCGTAAAGAGTAATTCATTTTATCCCATAAAATGTCTCAAAAAATTATCAAAGACATACAAAAGTAATTTGCATTATCACATTATCTCAACTTGTCTTTTAAAGTAGGTCAAAGTATGCGTGAAATTTTCCAGAAAGAAACAGCTCAATACTGACATATATGAATCTTCTTAGTAACAGATTGGTAGCTACCTCTTAAATGCTGTTAGGGACCAGATGTTTCAGATGTCACAAACCCTGGGTAAAGAATCTTTGTTATGATTCGAAGACTGGAGCAGTCCACAGGAAGAGGAAGACAAGACAGAGACTACACTACCCAAGAGTACTATACTGCCCAGGGTGGGCTTGAAACTCCATGGGGAGAAACAAGCAAGTTAACCCACAAACACTACGGCATAGTCATGGTTCAGGATTCTGGACTTCACCAGTGGTTGAATCTCCAAGGTGCCAGAGTCTTCCTCCACCTGCTCACTGATGCCTGATAATTCTTCATACAACAATCAAGCGTTTCACTGCCCTGATAGAAATCAACCAAACCATTGACTTAAATTGGCATGGAGGTATAAAGGACTGATAGAAGATGCTTTTCAAAAGATTTCAGAGCAAGTGAGCAAGAGAGAGCAAATAGGCAACAGAAACAGTCGAAGTAAGAAGTGGAACACCAGTAAGTAAATGAGAGCAAAGGAAGGGGAGGCTGAGCTATTAAGTCACGTGTCCTATTTTACATTTTAGGTTAGAGCTGTCCCTCTTTGCCTTGACAGTTAGAGGCTCTTGCAACTAATGAATAGGCAGTGCATCTTTACAACATACTACAGCCTGGAAGGTCATTTCTTTTGCCTTGTTGATTTTAAGTAGACTGAGGTTCTGAGATCCATGTCTTACCCTACAATGTCTCTTGACGAGTGGTGCTGGGAGTGTCATAAATGTCTGGCATTTCTATTGGCATGATATTTTCAGGGAGCCCCATATTTAAAACCACTGAAGTTAGCTCCTGCTAAAACCTTGAGGCACTAATTTTTGTAAAAAAAAAATTCATCTTGGTTCTTGGTTATATTTCTGTAGTTAATGAAAACTAATCAGAGAAGTTGAATGTCCTTAAGGAATGCAGAAAGGGTGTCAAAAATATGTTGGCATAGATACAATTATATACAAGTGAACATTATAATATATATACTTTTTTTCTTACCTAACCAATTCCTGATTCACCACTTTGAAGGAAGGGAAAAGTAGGGCAGAGGAGTAAGGAGATTTTTCTATGATGACTGGGTAGTCATTAAAAAAAAACACCATTAATTAAAATTTATAATGAAAGTGCTACATATAAAATAACTCACAAACAAGGAAATTATAATGTAAGCATAGACATTTCACTGTGACCTCTGGAAACCAGAAGGGATTGCCACTATTGCTGCTTTTCATTCATTAGGTATACATTGTGTACCAACTTGTGCTTCTACAGAAAATGGGAAGAAATATGATTTTATAGGCCTAAGTCTACAACTGCAGCCTGCCCCCTACTCCTGAATCACACCCAGTTCTCTCACTCTTTCATTCCTGATTTTTACTTCTTCCTCTGCTAGTCTCCCTTTTCCTCTCCAACTCCCCATTTGTGAAGCCAATGTAAAGAGCCACACTCTTCACATGTCAGAGAAAGGTAATAATGCACAGCCACTCAGATAATACTGTGCCCTTCCAAGTGTCATAGTGGTTCCCTAGATACTGTTTTTGCAAGGTGTGCCTGTGTTTTCAGCTTCCTCTCTCCCACATGAGGAAGCAGCTGATTCAGGGGTGGCATGGGCTCTTGGTTTTTTCCATCCTCAAGCCACTGTGTGCTTCGTGGGGTTGGGAATCAGTAGTTATAAACACTGACAGCTACTGTAAGAGTGAGGTAGAGGGAGTAGACAGGCAACAGCTATTAAGGAAAGCTTGTGTGTGCAGGTAATATCATTTATCTAAAAGCCCTAGAGATCAACTGAAAACCATTTGGACTACTAAGAGGGTCCATTAAGGTTACTAGATACAAGCTAAACATACAAAATAATCAGGTCTTAGGAAACCAGGCTTCAGGTTACATTTGATTTAGAGCTGCAAGACAATGCTTGTTTTAATTGGCCGACATTGGAGATGAAGCACATGGGCTTTTAAGCAAAATAAATCCATTAAAAATATAGTTTTCATAGTTTTATTTATCAAATTCCTGTGTCTCATTTAAGGATAATAAGCCTTGTGATTAAACAGCTTAGAAAACCCCTATACTTCTTGTAACCCCTGCTCCAATCCTAATACAGACCCCTGTGTTTGTTTGCTATGGCTACCATTACAAAGAGCCAGAGGCTGGTGACTTAAATAACAAAAATGTGTTTTGTCACAGTTCTAAAGGCTAGAAGTCCAAGATTAAGGTGTTAGAATAATTGGTTTCGTCTGAGTCCTCTCTCCAGGGCTTTTAGATGGCTGTCTTTTCCCTATGTCTTCACTTGGTCTTCCCTCTTTGCCTGTGTGCAGATGTCCTCATTTTTTTTTTTTTTTTGAGTTGGAGTCTCACTCCATTGCTCAGGCTGGAGTGCAGTGGCACACTCATGGCCACCCCAGAGTTGACCTGCTGGACTCAGACCTGCTGCCTCAGCCTTCCAAGTAGCCAGAACTTCAGGTGCGTGCTACTATGCCTGGCTAATTTTTTTGATTTATTGTAGAGACAAGGTCTCACCATGTTGCCCAGGCTGGTCTCAAACCCGTGGGCTCAGGCAATCCTCTCTCCTTAGCCTCCCAAAGTGCTGGGATTGCAGGCTCGAGTCACTGTGCCCGCCCAGATGTCCTCTTTTGATAAGGACACCAGACACATAGGATTAGGGTCCATCCTAATGAACTTAGTTTATTTACCTCTTTAAAGATCATACCTCCAAATCTGGTCACATTCTGAGGTATTGAGAGTTAGGACTTCAGCATGTGAATTTTGCATGGGACACAATTTGGCCCATCACTCAAACCTAGCATAGGTTTAGGTACCTAAATTTAGCTAAAGTGTATGTGATATTAAAAAGACTTGGGAAAATAGGATTCCAAAGTTGTTTTCTCTATACCAACATTAAACAATTTGAAAATGTAAAGGGGGAAATTTTCATTCACAATAGTAAAACAAGTGAGAGAAAATAAGAAATAAGCCTAACAATGAACAAGTAAGACTTACATGAAAAAAACTATGTAACTATATACTTATGCAAATGTTTAACTATATGACCACAAACATATGTATAAACACACATTAAATTTAGCTAAAATGTGTTTAATATAAAAAGAGTTTGAGAATGCATATTTCCAAAACTGTTGTCTAAATACTAGCATAACCAAGTTGAAAATGCAATGTTTACATAAAAGAAGAATAAACAGAAGGATACATAACATCATGCTATTCCTAGATGGGAAGACTCAGTATTGTGTCTTATGAATATGTTCATTCTTCCCCAACACATAAATTCAATACAATTATAATCAAAACATAATAAAAATTGTTTGGAGACTGACAAACTGACTCCAAATTTCATTTGGAAGAGAAAATATACAAAAATAATTAATGGAAGAGCAATCATGGAGGGAGCATCCCTTTTTCCCCCCAAAATAACAAAACAGACTATAAATCCATACCAATTGATGTAGTGTGGTATTTCTATTGGCATGGATAAAGAGATCAGTAGAATGAAACAGAACAGAAACAGGTCCTTGTACATATGAATTTAATACATACTAAAAGTCAACTCAAAAAGATAGGAAAAGGAACAATCATTTAACAAATGATGTAATGTTGACCAACTGAAAATTTGATATTTTTGGCTGTGATACCAAAAATAAATTATAAGTGAATCTAAAAACCATACATAAATAACAAGATTATCAATTATTTAGATGGCAGTATAAATGTTTTGATAATTTGAGGCAGAGAAGGCAGACACTACATCCAGAGGCCATGAAGGAAGTTACTGACAGATGTAACTGTTTAAACATTTTCATAATTGCTTGAAGAAAGTCACCATTAACAAAACTAAACACAACAAAGAATTAGAAGAAAATGTCTGTAATAATTAAAACACACAAGTGCTTAATGGCCAGAATATATTAACAATTATTATACAACAATAATAATAAACTCAATTCTCAAAAATAGGCAAATACAAGTGACTAACAAATACATGGTAAGGTACTCAGCCTCAAGAGTAATACATATAATGGAAACTGAAATGACATGATAAGATTTGTGTTCACCTCTGGTTGTAAAAATTGAAAAGAATAATCACATCTAGTGTTGGTGGGGGTGTGCATGTGCATGGGCCATTCTGCCATGCTCCTGGAGAAAGTTGACTTGGTTATAAACATGGACAGCTTTGTTAAAGGCAAACTGAGTGTTTTTATTAAATGTCAAATATGTCATTTGAGCCATCTGGCTTTTAGGTATCTATCTTACAGAAATACTCATGGACACAAATGTTTGGATAAGAATACTTATGACAGTGATTTTTGTTAAAAAAACAAAAACAACCAAAGTGTCTATAAGCAGGAGAAAATTAAACTATGGAGTGTATTCACTGTGGAATAATTTGTAGCTAATTGAAAGGGTAAGGGGTATAAAAGGATTTTTTTTTTTTTGAGTTGGAGTCTCACTTGGTCGCCCAGACTGGAGTGCAGTGGCCACTCCCGGCCACCGCAGCCTCGACCCGCTGGGCTCCGATGATCCTTCCGCCTCAGCCTTCCAAGTAGCTGGAACCACAGTCATGCGCTACCACGCCCGGCTGATTTTTTGATTTATTGTAGAGATGAGGTCTCGCTGCCCAGGCGGGTCTCGAACCTGCAGGCTCCGGCAATCCACTCACCTCAGCCTCCCAAAGGCGCGGGATGACAGGCTGAGCCACCGAGCCCGGCTAGGATTTTTTTAATAATTAATCCATTCAACATATTTAAGACCTCTGTGGAATGGTACAAGGCAGAAAATGATTAAAAAATAGGATTTTTTTAAATCTATTTTTTAAAATCATTTTCTGCCTTGTACCATTCCACAGAGGTCTTAAATATGTTGAATGGATTAATTGGATATTTTTAAAAATTCCTTTTTAAATCAAAGAAAATACAAGTAGAGCAACTGAATGCAACTATGCATGAATGCCAAGTCTCTCTACCTAGTGTGTTGTCATTTTGTCTCTCTCACCAGGTCTTCTACCTACCCCACACCAATGGCCAATCTGCCCTTGAACTCACGATATATGAAAAATACAGATACGCAGATGAAAACGTTAAATTTTGCTTTATGTGCTATGACAGAGGTATTTATACCAGAGAAGTGCTCAACCCAGTGGGAGGAGGTTGGGTCTGAGCTAAATCTTTTTTTTTTTTTGGAGTTGGAATCTCACTCTGTCACCCCGACCTGCTGTGCTCCGGCGATCCTTCCGCCTCAGCCTTCGGAGTAGCCGGAACTACAGGTGTGCGCTACCACGCCCTGCTGATTTTTTGATTTATTGTAGAGATGAGGTCTCGCTGCCCAGGCGGGTCTCGAACCCACGGGCTCAGGCAATCCACTCACCTCAGCCTCCCAAAGGCATGGGATTACAGGCTGAGCCACCGAGCCCGGCTCTGAGCTAAATCTTGTAGGAGAGTAAGGCAGGTGGTATGCTGGGTGGGGAGGGGGATTGTTGGGAGCAGAGAGGACTGCAGAAGAAGTGGACTCCTGGTGGCTGGGGGTGCCAAAAGTGGGAGTGGGCAACGATGGATGTGTGTAGTTTATGGGGCATAGAGGGCAGGGTGGGGAGGTAGCACTGAGGGAGGAAGTTGGAGAGGCAAGCAGGGGTCGAGAACCTCGCTGGAGAGCCGCTGAAGGGATTAAGTATGGTGAGGCTTTCTAGAGCTTCATTTGAAGACAGACCTCATTGCTGGGAGAAGAATGGGTTGAAGTGCAAGAAGAAGATGCAGATCAATTTGGAGGCTGTGGCCTTACTCCTGAGGAGCAAGAAGAGACACAGAGACCAGTATGGAGTCTGTGGCCTCAACCCTGATGACAGAAGGTATCGGTCGGAGTCAGGACAGTGAAGCTTGGTGATGGCAAAAGAGGGGTGGACTTGGTGCACAGTCAGCAGGGAGGAGAGAGAAGAGGGAGGGAGAGAGAGAATGAGTTTAGAGTGAACTCCAGGCTCCAACACAGAGTGAGAGTGAAGGAATCAACTTATGGAGTCAGAATGAAAAGAGATTTCAGGGTGGGGCAGCCTAGGCCGACTTAGCCACTTCTGTGTGCACTCCCCAAGTTTTTTTCTTGGAATTCTCCCCAGATTGTGACACACTGCATTGCAGAGGTCTAAATGCTTGTCTCTGGGTTGGTGTCCACTCCTTAAAAGTAGTCATGACGGTCAATGTCTTAACCTTCATATCCAAAATACCAAACACATGGTAAATGTCTGTTGCAATAATCACCAACTCTAGTTCCCTCCCTTTTAAACAAGAGATCCTAAAACCCAGGTTAAGTGAGTTGTCAGAGGAGCTGGGCATTTGTGGTAGAGTCAATACCTGAACCTTGATCTTGTTTCCTTCCCAGTCAACAGTTCTTTCGGTTGCAGCTCAAGGAAATGGCAAAGCTGGGATCAGAGCTGGCAACGGAATGTAGAATTCTTGCTTCCTCCTGCACGAAGTGGCCGAGAAGTACTAGTTTATCATCAACAGCAGCACTTCTTCCCTTGGGTGTTGAGAGACAAGTCCCCTTCCTGCTGTTTCGAATTGAGTGCTCTTTAGTAGCCATGTCTGATGCTAAAGATCACCATGAGATGGACTGCTGCTCATCTCGGGAGAAGCACGCTGGCATCCCGGCACTGCAAACCGCTTTGATCATGTGAGTCTGCAAGCTCAGAAACCCGGGATGGCTCTCTGCAGAGCCTCAATCCTCTGTTCCCCTACAGCCCAGATCTGGTCAGTCTTATCTCCCAGTTTATTCCTGTAATGAATCTGCTCTCCCAAGCAAGCCAGCCAATACAGGTTTGGGTGCAGACTCGTCTCCAGCCAGACACAAAACAGCCCCGAGAAAAGCAACCGGCCACGGTCCTGTTCCTGAGCCCAAGTGGGAGAGAGAGAGAACTGAGAATGAACAGAGATATTCAGGGAGAACTTTATACGGAGCACTACGGCTCTGCTTGAGCAGGTGGGGCGAGCTCTGGTGACATCTGGACAAATATGGTCAAATGTGATCCCATCGGTACCCGTGGGGGACCTTTCTGACCTTGGTAAGATCCGTGGGGGACCTTTCTGACCTCGACAACCTTGGTAAGATGGCCCGCCGGCCGTCGGAAAGAGTCAGAGAAGGACTCCTGTAATTCACATTTCGCCCTCAGCCCTTTCTCCCTGCGCTTGGAAAAAGCGCTGAGCACCGCGGCTCCGCCAGGGGGCAGGAGAGGTCACATTACACAGGGAACTAAAATTTAAAAAAATCCCCCAACTTTTTCCCCCAGACCATGTTCCTCCTCG